GATTGTTTCATAACGTCTAGTGCTAAATATTACATTTCCCAGGTATATACACTAAAAAAAGAAACAAAAAACCCCAACAAAACTAAAGCCTGGGGGGAAAAGGACTGAACTTACTTTGATTTGCTACTGCATATTGGCATTTTAGTACACTACAAATTAACTTTTATTCCTGTTGTATGCATGTGGATTTCAGAGTGGTAGAAGTCCTGCATGAAATCATGAATCTGCATATTGGACTTGATTCTCTAATATAGAATGAAAAAAGTAAGAGCTTACCCCTTTTAATGGGGAGTTTTTAATGTTTATTTTTTAATGACTAACTAATCAGCTGGTTCTTGAATGTAGTCCATAGCTCAAATGAAAAGGGAGATCTCTGAAAGTGATTTATTAAGTTTCATTTCAGAAGATGCTTTTATCAGGGGAAAAAAAAGTAAGAGCTCATAAAAATTTTAAAGAATTTAAGAACTGATTAGTTTTTTCCTAATTGATTTGTTGCCTTTTAAATGCATAATGGCACTTGCTGGTTTTCCTGACTTTTAGGTCTCCTGCGAATAGGTAGAGACTGCAGGTTTTCCTACACAAACTTTCTGAGATGTAGGCTTCCCTAATTTGAATGCTGAAGGAACTGTGAGTTCCTTCATAAGAAAAGGGCATAGAGTAAAATAGCTCGGCATGGCTCAATATTCATATAGTTGAAAATCTGGCCAAAAATAAGCAGGGAAAAGTTTCAGAAGTTTTTTGTGAGTGTATTGCAAACACTTTTGTTTTTCTGACATTTGGGCACTAAAGGCACACTTCTTTGCAAGTTAGTTGACAGCATGAACTTCTTGGGCTTTGTGGAAATGACTTAGTTACCTACAAATGCTTCTAATGTGTTTGACATCTCACTCTTAGGAATCCAGATTTATCTCAATCCGTAATACGTGACTGATCTGGGCAAAGTATTGTGAAGGAGGGGTAAGGAAAAGCTTGATTTTTAGTTGTGTTTTCCATTGTTTTCCAGTAGAAATACTGTGTGTGTATTTTGGAATTCTCACTTATAACCTGAAGAAAATGTTTCAAATCACCATTAACTTCAAAACTTCCAATGTGTGCTCAAAGTGAGGATGTAAAACGATCTGATTACATATGTGGATGCAAACAATGAATTTCAGGTCTACCCCAGAACTTAGGAAGTTTATATTGGAATAACAATTACCAAAGAGAAGCTTCCTAGCATTGTTGTTCTAAGGATGTTGAACGGCAGTCAGTTATGCTGAGAACATTCTCTCTTGCACCTTTCACCCAGCTATAAAACACTTACATATGTAGCTTGTGTGCTCATGTGAAAATAGCTATTTTTTGTAGAATTAAAACAACAAATGAGTGTTTAAAATCAGGATTCCTAAGTTACAAAGTTCTTCTTTATGAATTATATGCTAGTGCATCACCAAAACCTAAAAACATTGAAACCCCCTTAGGTACAGGAGACTGATGTGGCTGCAGTATTGGCACAGTAATTGGTTACAGCCTTAACATGTTACTAGAAGCATCTGTATGTTACTTACAGTCATACCCTGTCTTCACATTTTATATAAATCAATACAGTACAGTTATAATGGAAGATATTTTGTTTATTATATGTGTTTCAAACTAATTTAATTTGTTTTGTAAGTAACTTAGTCTTGTTCCTGGCAGAATTTCACATTAGTTTAAGCTCAAGCTACATTGCACTTGTGAATGAGTAATTTTATTCCATTTTAACTGTGAATTAATGGCTTTTTGTATTGCTGCAGCTAGAAGAATATACCTTTCATTGAGTTTACTGCTTTCCTTGAATAACTGCAACATAGGGGATATTTTCAAAATGTATATTAAATTAGATCATAGAAATTATATTTTTAAAACCAATTGTTAAAATGTAAGTAATTCAAGAATCTACTCAGTAGTTTTGTCTTTTTAAAACTCTTAATTAAACCATTATTTCAATGCAGATAACTTCTATTTCATCAAATGGTAAGCACGCCATCTTATTCACATAATTATACATTTTCAACAAAGGCGGGGTTTTTTTCTTTTAACCAATATAAACCTTTAAAATGCATTCTGTATATCAGCTTTTCATTATGTTTTTAAGAAACAAACACCCTTGTAACTTTTAAGTGTTGAAACTAAATGGTTGGACTCTAGTTCTCTGCTCTCCTGTGCTGTATACTGTAATGCATACAATGAGAGAAACAGATGGCGTTTTTATTTGTTCTTTCAGTCTGCATCAACCAAGGGTGCAAATAAAAGGGATTGTTTGCTGTTTTTTAGAAGCACATCAAACTCCTTTTAGGAGCTTAGATTGTATTGTAGTGAGAATGAAATGATGTAGTGTGAATAAATTATGAATTTATTAAGTGAGCTGGGAAGTTTAATGCTATAAAATTTGCACTGGTTTAGAGACTGTTTTGAACTGTTGAAAAATGGCATCTATTTACTGTGCTTTAATTAACAACTGTTTCTCTATAATGTTTTCTGTACATTTGACAAAAAATTTGACTTTAAAAGGGCACTGCATATTCTGAATTCTGTGTATTCTAAACTAAGAAACAATTTTTAATGTATTTCCCAAAATAAAATATGTATGTATGCTGTATAAAAAATTTCAGTTGTTCATCTTTTTTTTTATTGGAACTTACACGCCGGACAGAATTTAACCTTAAATGCAAATTCAGCCTATAGCTGGACAAAAGCAAAGACTTTTGACTGCCTTCTTAAGTCATTGTTTCACAGTACCTCAGTGACTTCTGAATGGTGGGAAAGCACAGGGGCAGGGGGAGAGGGAAATAAAAGATGGGATTCATTTGTGGAGATTTGGTTCATGAGAGTGGATGGCTTTGTGGCAGCTTAAGCAAGCAGTGGGGATCAGCAGAGGTAACAAGAGTCAAAAAACAGGCTCGGGGAGACAGAATCCATGAAGATCTTGTGTATAGGAAAGCTATGGCCCCTGGCATCCTGCTGCTGCTCTCTGGTGACCAGGAGAGGAATTGTTAGTCAAGGGGTGTAGGAACAGGTTGCTTGTTGAACTTCACAGTTCTGTTTTCTGAGGGACTTCATAATGGGGGCACAGAGTGGTGCTTTTAGTTGATGCATCCTAGCTTGCAACAGTGGACCTCCTGTGTCATACTTGCAGGTTTACATGCAGTTTCCAGGATATGTTTTTAAATTGGGCAGGGGTGGTAACAGGAGTGAGGCTGGGACGAAATTTTAAGCAGGAGGAATTGCCAGTTACAAGTGCTTCAGGCCTTCACGTTCACTACGAGTATCTTTTAAACTTCCTCATGTATGGCAGTCACTTCATTATTCTGGCAGTAAAAATAAGAATACCAGACCCTAAAGGCTTTTTGTTCTGAAGAAACTGGTACACATAGAACAAACTGGTACATGTGGAGAAGACTCATAATAAATTCATCTTTTCAGGCCTGTTTTTAGATAGAGAGCTGAAGAAGTTAAGTCTTTTCAACTTCAGTAATCTTGTCAGCATCCTGCTGACTTTCTGTGTTTTCCTCTGCTTTTCTCACTGCAGTCCACTCAGTAATGCTGATTGCTAAGAATGTTACACCATCTTTGAATTTGTTACCCTTCATGTGGCATATTGAGGGAGGAGGCTGAAGGATGCATTTGAGGAATCCCCAGAGAAGCACAAGCAGAGTTTGGGTTTGAAGCTGTAGAGGACGGAACTGCCACCTCGTGTGCCAGAATCAGGTGGGAAATTTGAGGGAATGTGGTGGTAAAGGGCAATAGCAGAAGATGCTGGCTTAAGGAAGCTCTGATCCTTCACATGTGCAAAGCTACTGTCAGAGTACTCATTAGTGGTAGTTCTCCCTGCCTCTGTAACAAACTTCTGCTGTCTACAAGAGGAGTAGAGAAGGGTCACTAACTTGTCAAGCTGGAGAACTGATGGGGTCTGCAAGTAACCACAAAGGTCCTGCCTCTTTGTAGGAATAACCTCATGTACCAGAGTAGGCTGGGAGCAGACTGGCTGAAGAGCAGCTGAGCAAGGAAAGGCCTCATGTTCCCGGTGGACACCAACCTGACTTCACAGCAAAGCAAGCCAAGTGTCCTGGGTGAGCTAAACTAGGCACTGCCAGCACATGGATGGTGATCTTCTCCCTCAGTGCTGGTGACACATCTAGGTCCTCTGTCTGAGTCTGGACTGACTGAACATATATTTTTAAGTTAGAGCCAAGTTCCCATTACCCAATACTGTCTGAATATATTGAGGCTACTGTAAAGTTTTTAATCTTTAAGTGAAATTTCTAAATTTCCTTTTAGCTGCTGGGTTACTCATGCTCTGGATCAATTTCAAGAGCAGAATGGTGCAACACCTACAAAATCCTAGACTACCTTGAGTTGGCACAGACATGTAAGGATAAAGACTAATTTCCTGCTCCTTGCAGGACTACCTAACACTAAACCATTTGACTAAGCATTGTCCAGACATTTCTTGAACTCTGGCAGGCTTGGGGCTGTGACTATTTCTGTGGGGACCCTGTTACAGTCAGTCAGAACTGCACTTCATTCTGCCAAGAATCAGCTGGAGGCTGTAAATTTCACCAGTCTTACACTCAGTATCAAAAGCAAGGGGCACACTTTTCTCATATGTAAACACTATCCTGCGCTTTGGATGAAAAAAACACCAATAAAATACCCACAAACCAACCACTCAACTCACTAAGTGCTGGGTTACTCATGCTCCATACTCACTAAGTGAGTTGAGTTCTGCCCACAGCACTGTTGAACCATCATGCAGGATTTTGACACTGTAGGTATATCCTACTTGTAATAACATCCACGCACATACACAAGTTGATTACGAACCGGAACTTCCCACTAAAGACAGATACAAAGTTCTCAAAGAGAATTTAATCAAGACCAAGATTTGTGATTCCAGTTTGGTCTGTGTGATGCAGTTAGTCTGAACTATTTAAGAGATGGCTGGTAACGACATGCACTAGAAAGTCTCACACCGAAAGTTAACCACAAAAAGGGTTTATTTTTAATATCATGTACATCTTTACTTCTGACTTGATTCAGACTTAGATGTAGAAGCTCTCAATGAAGAAAGCCGGCGTCTCTTTGCAATCTGCTCCTGGCGTTTCTCCTTGGCTTCCTAAAAGCATGAAGAGAGTACAGAGATGTTACACTTAATCAAGCACCTTCAAATATCTACAAACAAACAAACTAGAGAAAATACAGCTTGGAGGAACGGATTCCCTAAGTCAATAAAGCAAAATGGTCTCCCTTCTTCACAGATCAGAATTCTACAAGTATCCAAACCAGTACAGACCCATGTCTTTAAACAGTATGCATCCAAAATAATAGCTCACAACATATGAGAGGTGTTTCTATTCTCATTTCCATCTTGAAATCATGAAACTCAGTAACTATTGTGCCAAATATTCCAACAGTACTGCTTTAGCAGTACTGCAGTTTTAGGAGCAAGAGAAAAAACTCATCCAAACAAGTACCTCTTTGCCAAGTTATCTTCCATTGAGATCAACTGCTGAATCCTGTTTCTCCACACTATCACTCAAATGCTTGAGCATCTGAGTTAAACTAGGATTCATTGAACTAAAATTGCTACTGAAGAAGTTATTTTCACAGGCTGTAACTATTTGTTGTTTTCTTCAAAATAAGCTCTCAATTAAACTAATGGGCCTAGTTAAGTTCTATTGCACTAGGACTGGCAGAAATAGACAGAAATATCCAAACCCCCCAACTGACCAGCTATGTTTATACTCATGTTTAGGCACTCATATTCAAAATGAACTACGTACAGAGCACCTATAAGCATACAGTCAAGTTTACAAAATTCCTTGATTCTGGGTATGAGCTATGTATATAGCTGAATTAAAATGGCAAACGCACCTTCATTCTCTTGGCCAAGAGCTTTGCGTATTCTGCTGCCTCCTCCTTGTTCTTCTGAGTGCGTTGCTTCTTCAGAGCAATGCGTCTGCGCTTATGCTGCAGCACCCGAGGAGTCACCAGCCGCTGGATCTTAGGAGCCTTGGTTCTGGGTTTCTTTCCTAAAAAAGTATTACAAATCAGAAGTGGCAGACTATCTTCCAAAGAGGCCACAGGCCTCATCTAGCAATCTTTAGAGTAACTTCCATTTACTATTATGATAACATTATTTAGTGTACTACACATTATAGCAACTTATATGGAGTTCAGTATCTTCACAAATTTTACAGGAAAAATGACCAATTAGTTTAAGATGCAGCATTAACAATACACAGTCCTAATGCTTATGATTTGTTATCAGCAATCAAGTGTTAATTCCTACTTTCTCAGCAGGTCTCTCTGTAGTAACTCCGCTTAGACTTAAAAGTTTTAAGAGTAACGGTACTCATTATCTATCTTTCAGAACAGTTTTCAGTGTTAAAAAGCGATCTACAATTTTACACAGGTTTGACATGGTTTATCCCCCAAAAACCAGATCTACATAGTCCACAATGGGCAAAAAACCCACACCACCACAGAAATCTATAAAGTTTCACTACTCAGTGCTGACTGACTTGAGCAGTCACAAGCAAGAGTCTGATGTCCACCAGGATCACATTCTTAAACAGACAAAATAGTTCCTATGGTGCAGTCTTTTCCCCAACAAACTTACACAGCGCCCCACGTTTTATTGTGTCCTTTCTGCTAAAAATCTGCACCTTTTTCCTTTTCCCTGATCAAAGGCAAGAGAACCCAAACTTAGTCTCTTACACTACAAGAGACAGACAGTAAGCAAAGCAGTGCCCTTCCAATAAAACTTATTTCAGAGACTGCCATAAACAATGGGGAAAAATCTTACCATCTACTCTATACACTGCTTTTTTCCCCCCACAACATAAAAATGTTCCACCTTGTATTTAATCTTGTTCTAATAACAACTACTGTTGGGTTATTCTTAGAATATTAGTCTAGATTCTATCAAACATTTAAAAACAAACTGTGAGAAACTAAAAAAATTAAACAGAAGGGGAAGAGAGGGGTGAAAGAAATGAGGCAACCAAGAAACTCTTCCACAAATTGCAGTGGACAAAGCTTAAATATAGTGAGTGTAAACTCCTGGAGCTGCTATTAACTGTGCTTCATTCACTGCAGCAGGCTGGACACCCTCTTGCCAGTAATTACGAGAAACCAAAGAACTGAAGAACGGCAGTTCTTACCCTCTTTGTTCAGAGGCTTCCTCACAACATACTGGCGAACATCATCCTCCTTAGACAGGTTGAACAGCTTGCGGATCCTGCTCGCCCTCTTGGGACCAAGACGACGGGGCACAGTTGTGTCAGTCAGCCCAGGAATGTCCTTTTCACCTTGGAGAATGCAAGTTTAAACATGCCAATTACCACCACATCTACTGAGCACCAGCTTCAGTAGCAAAACCCTAAGTTTAAAATACATAAAAATTCAAGATAATACTATACAATCCTTAGGGTTCACCTGCCAATAGCACCACCCCAGCTACCCTCAGCTGGTTTAACATGATCAGATTGCTGGCAGCAATAAAAAGTCCTTTAGTGACCAGTTTTAGCATTATAAGAATGCAATGCCCAGAGGCAATCTCAAGACACACATTCACACTCTAAAGCTGGGACTGCATTTTCGTTCCACACAACCTACCAGCCACTAGCAAGCAGGCTACTGCCTACTTCTACTTGTTTCATGCAGCCTCTGACCTTTTTTCACTATGACCAAGTTCAGGACACTTAAGTTGGCATCAACGATGCAGCCACGAACGGATTTGCGCTTTCTCTCTCCAGTCCTTCTGGGGCGGTAGCAGGAATGGCCCTTGCTGAGCAAAAGGCGGACGCGTCCATGAGTCAGGACACCCTGCTTCATGGGGAAGCCTTGCTTGTCATTGCCACCGCTGATCCGGACAACATATCCCTACGACAAACAGAAACACACTTCTTAGCTGCCCTTCCCTCTATTACCTCAAAAAGTAGTAGGTATCACAACACAATGGATGCTCTAAACATGTCCCTGATTCAGCAGAAGTCACTGTTACTGCCACTGCAAACAACTGCTTTAACCAACACCTCTGCAATGCTCCAGGAATTTTACTTGAAAGATGTAAAAAATACTTCTGCATACCAGAATTTACATTTAGTGATTCCTATTCATTTGTAGTTTTGTTAAAGTTACACCACACAAAATCTTGTCCATAATTATCTAGCTTTTCTTTAATGTAAACCTATCTAAAGCCTGTTACCATCACAAACTGGAAAAATGCATAGAACACAAGACTGTCTGGAGTAGGAAGATAAGAGGTAAAAAGAAAGGCTTTTATAACCTGCCTTGCAAAGGTGGCAGCAGAAAAGATCAACTTCCTTAAATCCAGCTGCACTGTCTGTATTATCACTGAACTATTCCAAGCCCATCCACCAGGTCGAGCATGCTTTTTTCCATGTGTTAGCAACAGTTTAAGCACAACAAAGTCAGTTTCCAGCTTGTTCAGTAAAGAAAGGATCAGCAGTTTTACACTGCAGATTTAATTTGTCCTGAATACCATGACAGCATTCATAGGAAGAACAAGAAAGTACTGCAAAGGGCAACAAGAAACTCCAAAACTCAAGGCTCTGAAGAAGAAAAATGAAAAAATTTTATTCTGATAAATCAAAGCACCAGAACAGGCTAGCCTAATCACTAATTCTGTACATACATAGCAAGAGAAACTTTCAAGATAACTGCCAAATGTACAACATACAACTGCTGTATCGTGACAACTGCGTATTGGAAAAATTTTGTAATATAAGCTCCTCAAATACAACTCTGACACACCCTTCTGTGTTACTTACTTTCCACTCCTCACCAAGGGAATCAGCCAGGACCTCCGTGGCCATCCGTTTCTCATAGAATGTTCTCAGCTTGCGCTCATCATCCACTTCAATGAGTTTCTGGCAGCCAGTGGCTGGGAAAGAGATGTTGAGCTACCACAGAAAACGGTAAGAAAAAAAGACAGATACGGCTGAAAATTCTGAGGCATCTTAACAAAAGATCAGTATTTATTTACCTGCTGGTTTGATCTCGACATTTGAAAGCTGTAATTCCCACCTGCTTCCACGAACACTCACCAGCCACAGCCCATCACCACGGCACTCGGGGTGCCGAGCCAGGGAGGACTGTGTTCGGCCACTCTGGGCTGCACAACTCGTTCAGTCGCACAGAAAACTGACTATGGCAGCCGGAGCTCAATCACGGAACTGCGAGCAGAACAAGGTGAGGGCAGCAGAAATCTGTGCCCTCCTCTTCCTGGAAACCCCCTCGTAAGCACAGGCCGTGTTAGCCACTAAAAACACTTCACGAGAGCGGCCCCTGCCGTGGGTGATTCTTGGGTGATGGTGACCCCAGCTCCCCTGGGGCTGCTGCGGAGCGCAGCGCTCGAGGGGCGCATCCCGGCACTGCTCCTGAGCGCGGCCAGAGAACAGCGCATTCAGCCACTCCTCGCCAGGCCCCACCACCGGCTGCACAGGCCTCTCGCTCGCAAGGCCCTTCCGAGCGAGGAGCGGCCGCTCCGGAGCCCGGCGCTCCGCTGGCCGGTGTCGGGAGAGGCCCGGCCGAGGGAGCGGGCCCGCGAGGCCGCCATGTCGCCCGCTGGCAATCCATTCCCATCCGTCGCGCCGCGGGGCTCTAGCCCCGCCGCCGGGGACCATCGGCCGGCGGCGGCGGCCCCGTGGGCTGCGGCAGGGCCATTTGCGGCAGGGGGGCCCGGGCCCCCCACGGCGTCGTCCCAGCCCAGAGCCGCCTCACCTTCATCCTGCTCGGGCCTCGGCGCCGCGGGAAAGGAACGCACTTCCGCCCGCACTGCCCACATACACCCGCAACTCTCGCGAGAGCGCCACCACCGGCGCCCCGCGTGACCGGAGCTGCCCTATGGCGAGCGAGGCTGCGCCGCGCGAGGGGCGCGGTCGGGGGGGGGGGTCTCCTGGGGGCGTGTCTCGGCCCCGAGCGCCTCCTGCGCTCTCACCATCCTGCCCGGCCGGCCGGGCGGGGGGGGCGCGGCGGGAAGCTGGCACCTGCCCGGGGGAGCAGCATCTGAGGAGGAGACTGCTTCTTCTGATACTGCTCGTGCAGTGACGAAGTGCTCCTTAAGGACAGCCAGTGGAGCCGCACGGAGGGACTGGGGGGGTAGGCGGGCCCACCCCGGGGCTAGGGGCACCGGCACCGGGAATAGGAAGCGATATCCATACGGAACGCACCGGCTTTCCGGACAAGGCGCGTTTATTGCGCGACCTGACCAGCGTTGGGATGGGCTATCCCGGTACCCCGCCGAGGCCGCTTGTCCGGCACTTTGTGCGCGCAGGCGCACTGGCGGCCGCTCTTCATCGCGCGTCTGGAGCTGACGTCTGTGCTGTGTCCTGTTCTGGGCTCCTCGGTACAAGGAACAGAAGGGGCTACTGGCAAGGATCCAGCAGAGGGCTACAAAGATGATCAGGGGTCTGGAGCATCTATCTTATAAGGAGAGACTGCAGAAGCTGAGCCTGTTTAGTTAGACTAGAGAAGACTGAGAGGGAATTTCATCAATACATATAAATATCTCAAAGGTGGGTGCCAAGGGAATGGTGCCAGACTCGTTTCAACGGTGCCCAGTGACAGACATGGAGAAATAGCCATAAACTAAAACATAAATTTCCACTGTAATGTGAGGAACAATTCATTGAGGGTGGCAGAGCACTGGAACAGGCTGCCCGGAGAGGTCGAAGATCCTCCCTCTCTGGAGACACTCAAAATTCACCTGGACACGTTCCTGTGTAACCTGCTCTAGGTGACCCTGCCTTGGCAGAGGGGTTGGACTGGATGATCTTCAGAAGTCCCTTCCAACCCTAACAATTGTGTGATTCTGTGGTATTTCTAAGGAGTGCAAGGGACGCGGGCGGGCTGGCCATGCGGGTGAAGGATCTGGCTCCTCAAGGGCGCCGGGGAGCGGGAAAACAGCGTTTCAGCCCGCCCGGCTGGCCGGGGTCCCGCGAGGCAGACTCAGCTCGTCCCCTGGAACGAGCCTGCCGGAACTGGGCCTGCCGGCCTCTGCCCGGAGGGGCCGCCCCGCGCCCGCCCCTTGCGCGGGCGGCGTGGGGAGGGCGGCGCGGTGGCTGCCCCGCGGCGGCGCTGGGCCGGAGGGCGGGAGTGGCCGGGCGGGCGCCATGGGGGCTCTGCTGTGGTGGGACCAGCTGCGGGCCGGCAGCTCGGAGGTGGACTGGTGTGAGGACAACTACACCATCGTGCCCGCCATCGCCGAGTTCTACAACACGGTGCGTGGCGGCGGCCGCTACCCGGTGGTACGGGAGCGACAGCCCCTCGGAGCCGGGGCGCGGCGGGTGGGCGAGCGTGAGGCGGCGGCAGGGTCCGCTGCTGCCCTGGGGGCTCCTGCTGCCTGCCACCTCCGTATCCTGCAGGGTTTTCGTGGAATTGTAGCTTGTCCTTCTATGGCTGCCTCCTCCTTTTGCTTCTCCACTCTCTGACATGCCTAAAATTAAAGAAAAAGAAGAGATTTGGTGTTGCACGTATAAAATGGGAAGGTTTACTAGTCATACTAGCCATACTACTACTAGTAACTAATGTGCAGCAGGTCCCCTCCTCGTCTGTGCCGAGGGGTGGCCAAGCCCAGAATTTTTGGTGCTGGATTGTCCGCGTCTGCTAGACAGGTGGCAGCCCCTTGACAGCTGCAACACTGTGATGGGTCAAGATAAAAACACCTTGGTCTTTGGAGGCAAAACTGGATTTCACCCAGGTATGTGACTTTTCAGGAACAGTTTACCTTAAGGTTGCAGGATGAAGTCAAGAGTGTACTTTTGGGAGAAGAGATGACTGTTTAAGGAAGTAGGTGAAGAAAGGAAGGAGAGGGAAGAGGAATAATGTAATTTTTGCTTCATTCTAATAAGCTGTGGTTTACCCCTGAATCCTGTTGCACCTTCTCAATACATTTTAGCTGCTGGAAATAACTTATAAAAGCCCAGTCCCAGCAACATAGCTGGGCTGCCCTGTACCACACGTCTTGGAAAGGGAGCAATGCTCCTGACAACCTGTTGATGTAAAGAATTGGAGTCGTGTAAGGTAACCCATTGGGCTTTCAAGTACTTTGTCTTTCCATGAAAAACAGGTGTCCAGGAGCAAACCTGCAAATGTCCAGTGTCTTTTCTGTTCTATAGATGCTTCGTCTCTTCTACTTTAAAACGTGCAGGTTTTTCTCTCATATTCCATCCTTTTCTGATTTTTCTCTTTCAAGCCAATGTCTAATGAAGAAAGAATTAGGTGTCTGTCTTCACTTACTGGAGGTGAATGGGAGGTGCTGCACATACAGAGCACATAATTCCATGGTGCATGGTGTACACTGTTTTTTTCTTTTACTTTGCTGCCAAGGACCTGTGTGTGGTGGCTGTGGGAGAATTCTGAGGGGGTGTGAGGGAAACTGTCAGCTTTTTTTGTGTGTCTGATGTCACTGTGTAAGAACCAAAAACAAAGGGAGGAAAATGTCAGGATAAAAAAGGTTATTTGGAGCCAGCTATGCAGGGGGATGGGTATCCATCTGACTGTATGTGCTTGTTCAGTCTAAAGTACAGTTAATTTTCTTCATAGTCACTTCTGTGGGGTGATGTTTTGTGCTGGAAATAATTCAGGAATGTTTTCATTTACTGCTCAGCAGCGCTCCTCGGGTCAAGGCCTTTTCTGCTGCTCACCGCACCCCACTAGTGAGTGGCCTGGGGGTGCACAAGGAATTGGGAGAGGACACAGCTGGGACAGCTGATTCCAGCTGTCCCAGGGGATATCCCAGGCCATATGGCATTGTGGTCAGCATATAGAACTGGGGGAAAAAGAGGGGAACGGTTTGGAGTGATGGTGGTTGTCTTCCCAAGTCACTGTTACACGTGATGGGGTCCTGCTTTCCTAGCAATGGCTGAACTCCTGCCTGCCCATGGGAAGTGCTGAATGAATTCCCTGTCTCCCTTTGCGTATGTGTGCAGCTTTTGCTTTACCTATTAAAGTGTCTTTTTCTCAACCCACAGTTTCTCAACCCACCCAATTTTCTCACATTTACCCTTCCAATTCTCTCCCCCATCCTGCTGCGAAGAACGCGAGTGAGCGGTTGGGCAGTGATTAAACCACTAAAAAGTTGCTGGCAGGAATTAAACAACACTGTACTGAGCTGATTAGCCGTGGTATAGAAGTTTGCAAAATGCTAGAACCTGCAGCTGTGTCCAAATGAATAACTGAGGTTCCAGACAGACACAGAAGAAGGTTTGCCCTGAAGCCGGTGAGAAAAAAGAGGCCGTGTCAGGGTAGTCGTGTTTAGCCTCTCTTCAGTAGTATAGAGTCATTATAAGGGTTTGATTTTTGTATTAGCAACTTCTGAAAATTAAAGCAGTGACTTGAAGTGGATTGATGCAGTTGTGCAACTGTATCTGCATAAAAACTGATGCTCACAAGACAGTTGGGAAATTTTGGCCTTACTCTAACAGGGATCTTAATTTTATTCCTTTTAGGATGGTTCAGTTCTGACTGACTCAGCCAAACCTCTTGAAGTGTCAGGAACTGTGGCACTCATTATATGGGAAAACTGTTGTTTAAACATGTCTTAAAATGGCTTTTGGTGGTCTCTTTGCAAAGACACGTTTCTTCTTCCCAAGACCCCCCAGGGTAGTGTTATCTCAGGAATGTCCTGGGAAGATGTCCTAAGGTGTTTCACTGGACCTTGTTAACCCCTTCCTGTGATTGGGTGTTCCTGTAAGCCCCTTGAGACTTCTAATTGGTTACTTTGTGATTCTCCCTAAACCCTATAAATGTAACAACCCCCAACAATAAACCCTCTCTTGCCTCCTCTCCACACCGGTGTGCGGTCTCTGTGCCTGCCATGGGGCTACGTGGGTGCTGGGGGGAGGGGAGGGCACCTCTCCCCTCCAGGCTCGGGGCCTGAGAAACCCCTGGTGCTGGAGTTCCCTTTCCCCATCCCTCAAGACGTCGGAATGGTTCTTCAGATGGAGATGGAACTAGAACTGGGCTCCCCCACGTCGTGGGTGGGGAAAAGGATCCAGAAGGAGCCATTCTTCAGCAAACCTGAATCTGGTATTTGGGTCGTTAAGCTTTAGATTAAAACCTTCCTAATCCACATTTTAAACTGTCACAGTTGAGGTCAGAGTTGTGGTTAAGGTCTCACGCAATATTCCTGTAAGCACAAAACTAGAGCAGCTTATCTGTAGTGTATTTGTAAAACATTTATTTATTCTGGTGGGACTCAAACCAAAGCACTCAACACACTTAAATCAGTAGTAGAGTATCTGTTTATAGGTTTTGAACAAATTGATCAGACTAATTTTTTAAAACATACACATAGGCTGATGTGATTTTGTCTAGCTAGAGTGATTGAGGACATACTTTTTCAGTAAAGAGGCCACGAAACACTCTGGCTCAAATTGAAAGTATAGTTATAGGAAAACTATCTTTTTTTTCCCCCTTTTCTTTCTGAAATGAATAAAGTAATGTGTCCTGATGCAGTATAACCCTACTCTAGAACATAAACAAATGCTTCCTCATGATCAAAATAGTTTACTCTCTGAAGAAATATCTACAAAAAAAGCTGTTGTGTTTTAAACACCCGAAACCAGTATTTTTCTCCTGTTGTTAGCAAAGTCAGTACTTAGCAGTTCAATATGTTGCATTCAGTTGTGCTTGTACTTTCTTGCCAAATTTCCATTTAAGAAGGGAATTGCCAGGGTTTTATTTCTCCTTTTGTATTCCATAGTGGCATGGAGATAAAAGTGTTAAAAAGCTGTAAAGTAGTCTTAGGAGTGTGAGAAAATGCTTGTACCTTCTCTACTTCATGTTTTTTATCACTGAAGATTTTTATAGTGTTTGTGAATGGCATGCTCATGTA